CCAATTTCCTGGCATAAACTGGTGAGCCCATCCAAGGCTGCATCTGTTAACTGAAATCAGTTGATATCCCATCTATTCCTGAGGCCTTATTTTTTGCAAAAGCCTTCAGGGTAACTTCCACTTCCTCCATCATTATAATTTACTCCTGTTTATATGGTACTTCCTAAAATTTTTCCAGTGTCAGTCAGTTCTTTTTGGTAAAGTGATTCTGTGTACTCCCTCCATCTTCTTTTGATGCTTTCTGGGTCATTCAGTGTATTGTCCCTAGCATCTTTCAGTATTGTGACTTGAGGTTTAAATTTGTTTTTCTGTTTTCTCAGCTTAAGAAATAAACAGAATGAATTCTTCCCATTTCACGCTTCAACTCCAGCACTCTGTCCATTCTATTATAATGCATGCTTTCTCTTTGTTTTGGCTTCTTAATTCTTTAATGCGATATTCTCTTCTGAAAAAAGTCTCTTCTGACATCTGTTTCAGTTTCTCCTTTGTATTTGTAATGACTTCTTGCTTTCTTTGTGGATGATATCCTTGATCGCATCCCACAACTCACCTGATCTTCATTCGTTAGTGTTTAGTACCTCAAACATATTCCTAAGATGATCTTGAAATTCTAATAGAATAGATTCAAGATCATGTCTTGGTTCTTGTGGACTTGAATAGATGAACAAATAAACAAAGACAAAGAAAGAAATAAATATATAACATTGCATCAGACAGAACATACCAGTATAGATAAAAACATACTTCAAAACATAGAACAAACTTCTGTGAAATCATGCCATTCTGTAGAATAACTTGATGAGAAACATCACTTCATTAAATGAAGCCAATGGTAATAAAAAGCAAACTTTTATGAAAAAGTAGATTTCATTGATAGACACAAAAGACCGACATCATTGCAGGACTAATGAATAAAATGAGAAATGTTGCTGTTGTTATGTGCCGTCGAGTCACTTGTGACTCATAGCGACCCTATGTACAACAGCCCTAAACTCTGCTCTGTCCTGTGCCAATCGCACTGTCTCTAACACTCCCATCCCGATTACCCCAG